GAGGAATGACTGGGAGGGGAGGGGATGGTGGATGGTTCAGGGGTTGGTAATCGGAGATGGAGGTTTTCATTTCCAGTGCAGATCAAATCCAGCCAAAGCTGTGATGGAAAACCATTACCATCTGGAGAGCCGTTTGGTGGCCTGTGTAAAGTGAGTTGGTGGTCTCAGTCCAGTTCCCAGTAGACTCACAGCCTCAGAAGAAGCAGCACCGTTGTAACTGGCACCCACTTGATTTGTGCTTGCAGCAGAGAGATCAAGGCTAGGCTGGCCCAGGGAGACGGGGCTACCCCCTCCGCTGCCATCAGGGTGGTCCTGCTATGCAGGACATATGGTGCTGGGAGGCAGTGGCCTTGCTGCAGGCGCTGTAACTGAGGCCGTCAATCTCACGCTCTTTTTTGCCGGCATGGACTCCGCTTGGAAATGGCATTTGCAGCGCGGCTTGTGGTAACAATTAAAAATGGAGGGAGTGGGGGAAGGGGACGGAGGAATGTGCATGCCGTCCCCTCCCCCTTTCCCACACAAGCGCTGCTCTGGACACGTACCCCGTTAAAGCTCCGATTGCCAAGGAACTGCTGGCAGGCACGTTTTTACGGCGATTGCACAGGAGTTGTATAAGCACCAAATGACTGGCTTGCTTACACACCTAGGCGTGCAAAATACATTCAGGGAGATCAAGTTACGCATGCCACAATGGGCCAAGGCTCTCCAGGGTGGAGGGAACCAACAAGCACACACCCGGCTTTTCATCGTGTTGCAGGGAGCTGCAAATTCCCCAGCTGCTGGTTGCAGTTGAAAGGTTTGGAGCAGCGAAATGGGAGAGAGCCCTGCAAGCTCCCTGGAAGCACCATCCAGGCTCCCAGGCCCCGAGTGAAACCAAATTTCCTTTTCCCTTCCATGGTCACCTGCTTCTCAGAGAGGATGAGGGGGCTCGGGTGCTTTGTATGCATGTGCAAACAAGGATATGAACTCCACAATCACTGCTTTGATGCACGTCCTCTGAATGGTGTTGGCAGCACCGTACCTAGATTCCTGATGGCCCCGGGGGGAACTTTTAGTATTGGGCCCCCCTTTGCCAGAGATAATGATAAGAATAATTGGACAACGGGGCAAAAATTACCATTTTTGAAGCCCCTTCTGTCCGGGCCCCGGGCAGCCGCCCAGTTCACCCATGCCTGTGTCCAGCCCTGGGCGTTGGAGCCCCGGGTTGTTCCTCTCGTGCATGCCCTCCAGCAGCTGTCTTTTCTAGGGCTGGTATTTGACCAACGCTTGGTGCTTTTGTACAACCAGAAACATCAAGCCCTCTCTCTCCCTCAGGTACCCCAGCCTGGCTCTCTCCCTCCACTGGGGAGCAGAGCAGAGGCTGGGAAAGCAACAATCATTGTGCCTCAAAAGGATCACGGAGGCAGGCACTTCTAGACACAGCTTTCTCCCCAATCTGAAGTCTGTTTCCCATCATCACCAGCCAGGTCCATGGGGACCGTTGCACTAGAGCAGGCTGCTTCCTTCCAGCATAGCGCTGCTGTTTCCCAGCATGTGGGCAAGCCCCGGGAGGATGGGTGCCTAAACCTTTGTAAGTCCCAGCATTAGCTCTCCCGTCAAGGCCCTGGGATGAACATCTGTGTTTCTCCAGCTCCTCAGCCTCTGATAGTTTAGCCCTGGAGCAGATTTCGTAGAAAGGTTGTACAATCTCCATCAGAGGAAGTTTTCAAGTGCAGGTCAGACCAATATTTGACCCAGAGGGTTGAGATAAGGGCTGATCCTGCCTTGAGCAGGGGGGCTGGACTAGATGCCCTCCTGAGGGCTCTTCCAGCCCTGTTTTACTACGTTTGGCCTCCCAAGTAATAAACTTCAGCAGGCGAGGCCGGCAGCAAGCAGCCAGCCGTTGTGCCCTTCTCTGCTGTACCTGCAAGCTTGCTCATACCATGGTGCTGAGATTAGAGAGGTTTTGCCTTAAGGCCAGGAAAACCCAAGTAAAGACCATGGAAGACTCTGAAAGCCAGAAAATTAAGGGCATTTTTTTTTGTGCAGGACAGGCGTTCAGGAGCCTGTGCAAGAGGCCCCCCCGTTGCTCTCAGGCATACAGCTGGGCTTGATAGGAGGGCCTGGCTTTGTTCCAGAAGCCATGGGGGACTCGTGGGCAGAGCTGCCTTGCACGGGGTGAAGCAGCCATGGGGACCGCTGCAAACTTGGGGATGCAGCAGTGGCATTCAGTGCCTTGTGGAGGGGGGGGAGACTTCTATCTGTCCCAATCCTTGATGATGTTCACAGAGCAGGGCTTCCTTTCCTGGGCTCCGGGTCGAGCATTTGAGTCCCGGGAGAAGACAAAGATGTTCCTCCTGCCTTCCTGCCATCGCCTTCTCTGTACGCACGGCCTGACTTCTCACTGCCCTTCACAGGTGCAACTCCGAGGTGAAATACGACTCCGAGAAGCACTACAGGGATGACATCTTCTACAGTCCCATCCCCACCGTCACCACCTACAGCGAGACGGTCATTGCCGCCCCCAACTGCACCTGGAGGAACTACAAGTCCCAGCTGAACTTCGAGCCCCGGCAGAAGCCTCTGCGGTTCCAGAGCACGACCATCATCTTCCCCAAGCGCGCCAAGAACATTTACCGGACCACCCTCAACTACAGCCTGGGCTGTGCCAAGCGGTGGTTTGCCTCCAGCGTGCAGCTGGAGCTCTGCGAGGAAACAAGCCCTTGTGTCATCTACAGCGAGAGCCTTTAATCCGCCAGTGGGGAGCTGTGACCACAGCGAGGCCACGTCCTTCCCTGGGATCTCCTCGGACAGACAGGCTTGGCCCAGAGCCCTCCCCAATGGCACCTGAGTACAGGTGGCGAGGGCCGTATGGTCTTGGACAAGTGCAAACGGCTCAGAGAGGAGGCTTCCACGGGCACTCTCTCCATCCTGCCACCTGTGAACAGCCGGCTTTCATTTCGTGACACTGTTGATGTTCATGCTCTGGATTTTATTTTCTAATTTTTTTTTAAGCCTTTCTATTTTGAATAGCATTTACGTGAAAGCAGATAATCGAGGGCCCCTAATTTACGCAGTTGCCAAATGTTATAGTGCTGCTTCCTAGCTCCATGAGTTTCTCGCTGGTGCCTAGGTGAGACTCGGTATCGCCGATTCGGTGCGATCGGAGAAAATCAGAGGCACCCTCCAGCCTTCACAGTCGTCTCCCAGCTGCTTGGAGGTTGTCATTGCTTTGATAGGTTGGCATAAAACATCCATCCTGTTCTAACCCCCTTTCTGGATAACGGCTGCAATACTGTGTCACTGCAATGACCTTGACTTTAACTTATTTCTTCTTTATTTTTATTTTTTTTTTTAATTATTGTAAGAAAAGGAGAGATGATCATGGAAATATGGCATCCACCTTCCTAGCTGGGAAAAGTGCCAAACTCCCATCTGAGGCCCTTCTTAGGAGTCTGATGTTTACATGTCATAACAAAATACTGTATAATAGGCTTGCAGAGAGCTCTCTCTGGGGGGAGGTTTGCATCCTCGGGCGGACACCGCCCAAGGGATAGGGTGAAAAGCTCATTTTACAGGAATAAAAGACACACGGGGAGAAGAGACCTCTCTAAAGTTTATCCTAATCTTACATTAGGATGGCTTATGACAATCATGTTACATAGATGCAGGAGCAAGGCCAGTTCCTTTAGGACCAAACACCAGGTTTTGTTGTGCGAGACAATAAAGTCAATAGGAGGAGCCGAACTCTTACGCTAGGAAGTACAGGGTTTCCAAGCTAAAGCTTGACAATGCGATAGATGTTTCCCAAAGGCAATGGGCAATGGGGCTGTTCCCCCCGTCAGCCTGCTGACTCTGGTAGCAGTATGCCAGGACCATAATTCACACAAGGACTTCCCCTCCCTCTCTCCACCTCCCTGTCCCCTTCCACTCTTGTCCAAGTTGATGGTTTACCCTTCGGGTGAACTGGTTGACTACAGCTGCATTAAATGCCAGGATGTGCAACATTAACAAATCACGGACTTGCCAGAACCAGCCTGAAGCCCCCAACCCAACCAGCCCCGTAACACGCAGGCTCTTTGAGAGCCGTTGCTAGCAGATGCTATAATTGCATTTGACAGCATCTCCTTATCACCCCGGCCCTGGGGCAAGCTCTATTCAACTGCATGGATGTAACTCTGCTGACACCACACACATGCACACACACGTGTGCACACACAAACAGAGCCTCCTTCACTAGGGATGGATTTGATCCTTTCAGTGTTTATTTTTGATGGGGTAAAGCTAGGGATGCTAGATAAGCTGACTTGGGTATTTTCGTTTAAAGACAAGCTGGAGAGAGACCACTTTCCCTTGTGTCTGACAACCTGCTTCGTGACTTGAATTGATGTTCACATTGAAAGAGAGCTAGCAAAGAGTAGCAGCCCTTTGGGGCTACCGTGTTGTATAACAAGGCTCTCTTCCCCGCCGTGCTATTGCGAATACCGTACGTGCCTTCCCCATGGCAGCTCTCCTGCGGCAATCGAGTATTAGCTGCTTTAGTTTCCCTAGGGAGGTGACAAATGACAGTGGGGCAGGGACCCTGCACACGAAAGGAATTAAGGAAATTGTGCACACCGCTGTGAACCAGGATTCTCCATATCACCACCCTCAACGCCTCCTCAATGCACATTCAGGGAACGTCAGGGAGCGATAAAACTCCATGAATGGAAAGCCTGAAACACAACATCAGTGCAGATGGGAAAGAAAGCAGTACACGATCCCAAAGCGGTTGCTGCTATCTGAACACAGGCCAATACAGCTGGGATTTTCAAAGGAGCCCAGAGGAACAGGACGGCTAACTCACTACATTTCAGAGGGATTTAGACACCGAGAGCAAGATTTTCAAAATGCACCTTAAATCCCATTTTTCAGAAGCAACTTAGGTCCAGACAATCAAAGGTATTTAGAGGCCTCATTCTGATTGATTTCAATCCCCAAAGGTATCCAAACACTTGAGACTTAGGCACCTAGATTCCTTGGAAAATCTGGGCCTCAGGAACTTCTGTCTTCAAGTGAGACTGCTTTAAACAACTGCACGTATGTCCTTGTTATAGGGGTAACCCGGGTGTCTGGCACCTAGGTTAGTCTAGCATGCGTGTGGGCAGCCATGGCAGGGTTAGGGACAACCCAGGTGTCCAAAACAGCCCACGCAAACTCTGTGGTGGAGATGCATGTTTTAAGTTTTGCAGGAGCTTCCAAAGAGGAGATGGAGGGACAAGTTGACTTTATGGATCAGCTGCTCTAGTCCTTGTGATCTGAAGGGGAACCTGAAAGTCTTTGGAGTCTTGGGTCCTGCGGTGACTGGAAGTCGACTCCTTCCTCCCTACTGAAGGTAGCAGCCAGATCTACCTAGCCCCTACAAGGCTGCACACATTTGGACAACTGGCCTGCTTCCCCTTGCTGGTCTTAGGCTGCAATAGTGAGGTGCAAGGGGAGCGAGGAGCTGCATTTCAGTCTTCTCTCCTCTTGGTTTCGAAGGACAGTGCCAGGGTGTAGAGAACAAACAGGATGGGAATCTCTCTGACCCCGCAGAGCCATGGCTTTGCTTCCAGGACTCCTGCCAGGTGGTCATAACACAAGTCACGCTTCACTGCAGCTGTGAGCATAAAACTCTCTCCCCATCGTGGGATTAAGCTGTTGCACAGGGCACCCAGGCTTTACCGGGCCACAGCCAGCCTGCCTGGGCTTCCTCCTTTTACTCTATAAGAAATCTGCTTTGCAACATGAAAATGGGGAGGGTATGGTTGGGAGGGCCCTGGAAGTCACCTAGTCCAACCAGCAAGTGCCAGAACAACCATCACCTTTGGACCTCCACCTGGGTTGCTACCCACGTGTGTCAGCCTCATAGTTAGAATGGGGCAGGCTCCCGGGAGTGTTAAAGCTGGGGAAGGAAAGGCACCTTCACAACCCCTGAGCCCCTAGCCAGCACCTTGCAGGGCCTGTGCTCCCAAAAGGGGGAGGAAAAGGCGAGGCTGGCTTGCGTGGAAGGGGAATGCACATTGCATGGTCTCCGTGGGTGGTTAAGTGGATGCACGCCTCTCCCACCTCCTCTCCTGGAGCATCCCCCTGGCATTATCCCCTCCCCACAGGCACAGAGGCTCCTGGAGCTCCTGGTTGGGTGGCGCAGCTCACCCTTGCTGGGCCAGGCATTGCCCCTCAGGTATTTAAGAGCACACACGTCGTGGTTCGTGGGACTGTCCCAGGGGACCAGCCCACCATGCGGTCTCCTTGTCCTTGCAGAACTCCAGGCTTAGTCCCGTCCTGAATGCAGTTTTCATTCTGTTTGTCCAAAGCCCAGGCAGGATCCTCATCTTACCAAGGTCCCTATGAGCCCACACCTGTCAGGCACAAGAGACCTGCAGCAATAACACTCCCCCTGAGTTTCATTGTCCTTCCAGTCCCACCAGCTGAGCTGTTTGCTGCGCAAACACTGAAACCTGCATTCAGAAGACCGAGCCTATTTGAAAGAACTGACCGCACATGCCCTTGCTTGGAGCTCCAGCAATTCGCACTACTTTGCTTTTTCTTAAAAATGTGCTGAGATGGTTTCTCACCTGCCAAACCTTGTGACAAGCAGCATTTGCCTGGGTCCTGTGCACAGGTCAGCACTGGCGGCTGCAGAACGGTTTGCCTTGCTCATGTTGACAGCAAATGGCCCAGAGTTTCAATTGCAATTAGCCTGGAGGGGGTGAGTGAGCATGCCAGGGAGACTGTAGTATGAAGCCAGTGTTGCTGGGTGCCCAGAGACCTGAAAAAGAAAATATGCAGAGTCTCAACTACAGCGCATTTGAATGAAGAGGCTGTAACATCGGAGACGAGATGAACTGGACAACGATCCTACAGATTGGCACAAGTGGATCTAAAAGCCAAAACTCAGAACTAGATATTGCCAAGTGCCTTATAATTGTACAGGGGTATTTTAAATACCTTCCAGCACCTTCTGCCTCCCTGGACGAGATGCCTTGCTTCTTTGAAACCTGGCACTGGGATGGGAGGTTTCCCCTGCAAGATTAGACACTCTCTGTCTTCTACTTGCAGTCATTTATCTGCTACTTGTTTTCAAGCAGGAGTGATCAGGGAGGCGCCAAAGCACAATTTGGGGGGTAACTTGTTTCGTTCCTCATGCAGCTCCGTGCTAACGTACAAATTCCCATCCAGGTAACTGGATGTGCCAACGGTCCTCATGCCACAGCCGAGCGCCGTGAGCTGATGGGCCTGCAGAGTTGGCTGCACTGAGAAGCTGCCTGGTTGTGCAAAGGTGTGATGTTTTTGGTAGCAGCAAGAGCACGGTGCATCCTCAAGCAGCGACAATCTACAGGCTCACTCTCCTCTTACCTGGGTTTGATACCCATTAGCTTTGGCTGCTGTGCCAAGGCTTGGAGGAGGCTCCTTTTGAGTTCCCGGGGATGTTCCCTGCAGGAATGGGCTTTCAAAGCAGCAGGATGATGCCCAGGGAAATCGGGCAACAAGCCGCTGCGGTTTCAGCAGGGGTCACAGCCGGTGGGATGGCAGCCACGTTTGCGTGTCTGCTGTTTCAGGTCTCTCGTTTAAAGCAATGTCACTGATGCAGCAGACGTGCTTAAAGCGGCCTCTCGCTCGCTGCGGCTTTATCCGTGTCAGGCACAGCAGGATGTACCCACCTGTGCTAGAAAGGGTTAGTTGTGTTTGGTTTCAAATTGATATAGTGAGGCATTTATACACGGTCCAGCCCAAATCCTGTGAGAACCGCTGCCTTCTCCTGGGTGAAAGCCCAGCTTTTATTTTGTTTCCAAGTCAGCAAACCAATCTCCAACACGTTTGCAATAGCCAGGAGCTGCCATTTCTTGCCTCCTTGCACAGTACTTCTTATCCATTTGTTAACTGAACCCCTGTGACCAATGTATATGTTGCCAGAAGCCAGCAGAGCTGCGAGCGTTGCTTCTTTTGTGGTTTGGAAGACAAAAATTCGAGCTCCCCCCCGCCCCCAAACACCAGAAAAGTGGAATTTAGGTTTGGCACTGCAGTTAGAAAAAGCTAAATCCTATTCAACGAAGCCTTCCCAGCAGCAAATAAATGGTCTATTTGTAGCACATTTTGTACATTTAAAGGGACCGTTTGTCCCATTTTACGGATATCACTATTTTTTTTTTAAAGCATTTTATTAATTTTAAACAACCGATGTTGATACATTAATTTTTTCCTGAATTGCAGACAACTGAAAATAAGCAAATGTTGCTTTAAAAAAAATTGTATTCCTCTGAGTACTGAGATGCGATGTCATGCGGTCCAAGTTGTTGACTCGTCTGTTTTAGTTAAAAATCGTCATTTAAAATGTGCCCCTCTCCCTCGTGCATATAGTTTTCCTTCTCCAAACCAGCGACTTTCGCAAAACACTTCTGAAGGTTTCAAATTGGTTGATTTTTTTTTTTAATATCAAAACCAGGAATTTTGAAACATCGATAGTTTGACATACGGAAGCGGCTTCCTTTTCTCCCCGTCTATTTGTTTTATTAGATTTCAGTGGTCCCCGGGGGTAAAAGAAGCGAAGCCCAGACCGAGCCTTTTCTGGCTGTCACAATTCCTTTTGGCTCTTTGCAATGTTGCAAAAAAGGATGAAGGAAGGAGCATTGTGGGTGTCTCAGTCTGGCAAAAAACGGGAAAACTAAGCGCTAAAATGTCTACATTTTTCAATTCAACATTTTCAAAAATGATTTTGATTAAAAAAAAATTGAAAACCAAAAAGACAAAACCAATTCAGAACAGAAATGACTTGGGCATTTTTTTTTTTAAACCAACCTGCTTTTTACCCAGCTCTGTCTAGGAGCTTTTTCCAAGCAGGGGTTATTCCAAACCTGTGAACTAAGGGATAGGATTTGATAGCAGCGTTTCAGTGAGCTGGGGCACAGGCATATGTGTGCTATTCACTGCTTATATGGACTGAGTCTTGCTAGTATATATGTCATTGGAAAAAGACAGCTAAAGGGGAAATCAGAAAACCAAAAAACCAAAAAAAACACACCAAAGAAAAGCGAACCGCAGACTTGAAGAAATGTGAATCTGAGCTGTAAGTTAGCAAGTCTGTAGGCAAACATTGCAAACTAGGATCGTTGGCATTGGACTCGGTGCCTGACATTCATAGTTTCAGACTAGTTTGGGGCTGGAAGGGACCTTACAGCTCATCGGGTCCAGCCCCCTTGCATGGGCAGGAAAGACCGCCGGGATCAGATGACCCCAGCAAGATGGGCGTCGAGACGGAAGGGCAAATTCTCCTTTCTGAGGGGGCTAAAATAAACCGAGAAACAAACGCCAACCCTTACCCCCATTCAGCCTCAATGCGAGTCACCACATTTGTCTTGCAAAGGTGAGCACCAGCAGCAGCGTGTCTTTGAAGAGCCAGTTACACACCTCTCAGAGCTGCGTGGAAGGGCTCCGGTGTGCCCGGGCTCAGAGTCCAGGTGACTGCGGGTGGGGTTGTCTTATGGTCTCCCCGTCTCAAATTAACTCAGCTCCTGCTGCGGTCAGAGACCCCCCCTGCCCCTACTGACATCACGGGGAGCACCGTTCAACAAGTGCAGCTCATTTCCAAATGCCCCAACCAACCCCCGCGCAGACAAACCATTTCACGGTGTCAGAGTCCCCGGCTTACCTTCCCTGGCCCAAAGGCGAATGCATGCATCAACACAAGAAACCAAGGTATTCTGTTGTGCAAACTGAGAGCTGAAGAGGAAACGGAAAGATGCTCAAGGGTGAGAGAAGTGGGGAAAAGAAATGGTCAGCGGCTCCTCTTTCTGGATGTGTCATATTTTTATTTTTATAATTTCAGTCCTCTGTGTGCTTGTACAGACCTGTCCTGGTGTATATGTGGTGATCCGGTACTTCACAATACCCTTTTATTTTTGTAGATTGTTTTCCCTCTCCATAATAATCCCTTCCTCTGCGCGACTCATAGAAAATAATTTAAGAAACAAATTTCTATATCGGAATAAAGTGGACAAATCAGAGCAAGTGTGTGTGCGCGGCTTTGTCCTCCCACGAAAGCCTCCCTTCTCCCTGGCATTACCGCTGTACAGCCAGATGGGATCGTTTGAATGATCCATATACTGGACTGCTTCTCTGTCAGTGGTGGGATGTGAAACCCCGGAGATATTTGATCACGAGCACATATCTAAACTTCCTTGGGCTCGTGGAGTTGTGGCAGGAACACTAACCCCCAGCCCAACGCTAAGCTGGCAACGCTGCTGCTGGTTCAGAAAGTAGGGCTCATGGAGCAGGCCCGCTGCGTCTCGCTGCAGCGCTCCCTGACATGCCCTTTGGCCTTTTTGCTTGATATTTTGCCCGGCTGGACAGCGCATAAAGTCACTTAAAAAGTTTGAGCCTCAGGAGCCAGGTGCAAAGTGACATGACAAGATTAAATTCAATAATGTTCAGCCAGTGCTTTGAGATCCTCAGGTGGAAAGTGCTGTACAGCAAGTGCAACGTCCGACTGCCGTCATAATCTAGATTTATCAAGGACAAGCATACCATGCCCTGTACAATGGATCTTGATGGCCTTATGCTAATGGAAAGCGCTGGCAAAGGACACACACAAAAGTCTACTAAGTGTTAGGCACTCGTTTCATAAGCTATTAAAGATGGAAGAGACCTAATCGGCCATCTAAACCGGTGAGGCACAAGGCACAGGGCTGTGGCAGAAAGGGGTTGCCTCGGGTGCACTTGCAGGCCACGCTGTGGCCTGGCTACAAGAAGTGGGGTGACAAGGTCTGGTGGGGTCTGTTTTCTGGCTCTGGTGCTTGTAGCCCTGAAAGGAAAATAACTCCTCAGAAAAAAGCCTGAGCCTCAGATTTCAGTAATTTCTGACTTTCCTCAGAGAATAGGTAGCAACAGTATGCTCAGGGAATGAAGAGATTTTAATTTGAAAGCTCAAGATACTGGTAGAAAACACATACAAGTGGGTGCTGGCTCAAGGACCCAGACGGTATTTGGCAAGCATTAAAGCTGACCTGTGCTGAAATCTCACTGAAATCATTCTTACACCCGTTCTTGATGCCGTATCTATTCAGAAAACATTTACACGTGTGCTTAAGCCGTATGGTATTCCTGAGAGATGTAGAAAGGGACGTTGTGCTGCCCCCCTCACAGGGCTCTGCTCTGCAACGCCGCCCCCTCACGGGGCTCTGCTCTGGAGCTGGGGTCTGTACCCCCGCACAGTGCCCTCACTGGGGCTGGGGTCCTCACTCTACCATGAGCTCCCTACGAGGCCTCCTCCATCCCCTCATAGCCTCACCCAAACCACCGGTCTAAACAACCAAAGCAAACACAAGCCCCTAGGCCATAACTTCACTTCACGCCGCCCGGCTGTAATCACCTTACGACCGTCCCAGAGCTGCCTTCCTTAACCCTGCTTTGAGCAGTACCTGCAGGTCTTGCATCCTTGCTCAGGGAGCTCTTGCTGCCTTAGCGCCTGGTAGGGAACTACCTCTGGCCTCTGTCCTGTGCTTTATCTATAGGGGCCTTACCCCTGCCCCTTCCTTCAGCTGCCTGGGCAGGTGTAGGCCATTAGCCCCCTTTGGTTGCCTTGGCGACCGGCACCTGACGAGTCTTCCTGGCTCTGGCAGTAGCCGGCACCTTAGTGTCCTGCTGCAGCGACCACTTGGATTTCATCGATTTTTAGGGTCGAAAGGGACCTTGAAGATCATCGAGTCCGACCCCCTTGCCCCTGGGCTGGAAAGAGCGCTGGGGTCAGACGACCCCAGCCAGGTGCTTGTCCAGTCTCCTCTTAAAGACCCCCAAGGTAGGGGAGAGCACCCCCCACCCTTGGGTGAGTTAGGAATAATGAACACAAACGTCAGCTGCACAGTGAAACCTGAATTTGCTCGACTCACTATTTTGCCACGCATCCTCCATGTAGAAGCACAAATGATCCAGTCTGGGCCTTTTGTCTTTAACTGGCAACTTCGACACACATATTCAAGTGCCAGGCTACATCGTTCTTTGCAGGGACGTGCACAAAATATCTACGTTTTGCCCCAGTGAGGCCAGATGTTTTATTTGCAATGCAGAGATTTTTTTTTATGACAAACACGACAGGTCAATATGCTTGCGTGTCCCCCAGAAGCTGGAAAAAACACGCCCGGTATCCCATTCTTCTGCCGTCATGAAATACTCTGCAAGCAGGCTATAGTATGTTTTAGAAGGTTCCCTCCAAGGTCTCACAAACTGCTGATTAGCTTGTCTTATGGATTGAAATCAGACAACTATTTGATATCTAGGTTGCTCAGGCACCTTTGAAAATCTCACTAGGTGCTTCTCTGCCTTGCGAAGCACCTAAATGTGTCTGGCCGTAAGTCTGTGTCCTTTAATTCCTCATCTAGACAATGGGAGGAGTGGTATTTTCCTTTCTTACCATTTTTTGTATATCCTGCCTGTCCAGTTTTTGAACTTTCCAGGACAGACTACTAAGAGGAAATGGATGAGATGCTCTCTAACCTCGTGTCATTCAGCACCCGCTGTCTCTGCCGAGGCAGCGTGACCACTTGGTAGAGCGATGCCCTAGAGACGGTGTTGGAGTCTACGCCTGAATCGGACACTCCTGCATTCAGTCTGTCTCTGTGGCTTTTCCCCATGTCTGGCAATGTCACCTTATGCTCTCCTGGCTAAAGCACAGGCTCCATGCGAGCTGATGCAAGGCATAAATAATAATAGGAATAGGTGGTAACGTTCATCTGCCCTTTCTTGTGCTCTGCTGTGGGACCATCCTGTACAATGCTGCTCCACTGGGGTCTTTTTATAATTCTCCCCATGTTTTGCACATAATATTGCCCAGAAGCCCTGCTTAAGCTCACAGCCCCATTCACACGACAGGGTAGGGGCAGATTTGGGAAGAGAAGCCAGGTGTCCCGACTCTGAGCCCTTCATTCACCACAACATCCTGCCTCGTGCTGACAAGTTCCTTATGGTTTGCAAAGGCTCGGAGAAGGGCAGATAAACGGTGGGATACAGTCAGACATGCGGAGCTGTTAAGCACTGGGATGATTAATGCCTTCTCAAGCACTTTGTCCAGTCTAGTTTTAAATGACTTCCGCCAAGGGGCCTCTCTAAGGAGATGGTTTCACGATCCACAATTCCAATATTCAGCAGCCTTCCACTTCCACTTTTCCCATTACACCCAATTACAAAGCCCAAAGGTCCAAGCGAAATAATTCCCGTCTCCACCGAGTTTTTACTGTAGGCCATTTAGATACCATTAGGCCTCTTTATCCTGCCCTTTGACTTCGCAGTCCATTAAGGAACTGCAGAGAAACAAAGCAAAGCTTGTTTCATCTCCAGGACTTACCATACTAATACAAAAGCAAGGCCTAATAGCTTTGCAAATAGCAGAGGCAGATGGACCATGCGTCCGAGGATTAAAGCGTTCACTATGAAGTTCGCTTAAAGATGTTGTTGGAAACGACGTGAAATCATATCGGGAAAACGCAAGGGGCACACGGGGAGAATTCTCAGCTGTCTTCCAGGACCAGGGTTGTCTGCAAGTAGGATATATCATTAATCCTTCTGGGCAAAGCCATAAAGGAACGAAGGCGCTCGGCATCTTCAAAAACAGCTGTTAAACCCTTCACAACTCAACACAGCAGTGGGCCTCCAAGTCTTTGGACCAAATGAAAACTGTCCACGTTCAAAAATTTCGAGTGAATCGCCATTTGTCCTTATTATCAAGGTTTTAGCTGATGACACTGTCAAAGTACACAGGGCCCGGTGCCTACTTAAAATGGCCTCAAGGATCATGCATCACTGTTTGGAAGTCAGTAGAACAGGATATTGTACACTAGGCTCCTATATCTTTATTCGGTTCTGCGGGGCAGTTGAAAAGCCTTGCAAAGGTGACTTTTCTCAAAAAAAAAAATCTTGGGTGAGCAATTTGCCATCAAAAAGAAAATCCTTGTGCCCTAATATATAAAGCAGAAACTAAACCAGATCACATGGAGAAGATGGAAGACTTCAGAAAAGCAGACATACCTGCAAACCGCTAATTCAATGGTTGCAACTAAAAAGGCCAAATGATGCACATGGGCATCCGCTCCTGTTGTTTAAACAAAACCATCAGACATGCACGTCACCTAGGGAAGACGGCGGAGGTGGCAGCTAAGCCCCTGACGGAGAAAGCATTCTCGGTTTCAGATGAAGGATGTGCACTTTGGCAAGGAAAAATCAGATGAGCTAAGCTCTAATCTTGTGACTTTTACTGTGCCATGTGGATGTTATAAATTTAAGCAGATGATGTTTGGTATTAGTTCTGCTCCTGGGATATTTCAAAGAGCAATTGCACGGATCTCTGAGGGATTATAAGGAGCTGAAGTTATAATGGATGGTGTTTTAATTTGGAGTAGGCACCTTCAAGAGCAGGAGGACAGACTGAGCCAAGTTTTGCAGACTGAAGCAACCCTGAACTGAAGTTGTCAAAAGTAGCAGGAGTTATTGATACTGTGCATAAGTTTCGCAGCTTTAGATAAAATAGAAAACATTGGCTAAGATCCCCACTCCATCATGTGCAACAGAACTACAGGGGAGTAGGGGAATGACAGATCCATTTGTCAAATCTCATTCCAAATCTAGCTATGGTCAAGAAACCATACAGGGAATAGCTGGAAAATAACCTTGCCCAGTAACAGGAACCCAGCCAAAACCAGACACTTGAGTAGCTTGAGCCTCCACTCGTCAATCCAGCCGGTTTGAAAATACCATGATTTAGCTAAGCTAACCGTGGACTGAATTGTGGTCTGGTTAGCAATAGGTATGCAAGGGTGCAAAGGAACAAAAGGCTTCGGTTATGGTCTGTCTTCCACGTGCTACCTCTTCCACACACACATAGCTGCGTCTCAGACTAGCCCGGTGTTGTTAATAGTTGTGTCTTTAAAAGGCCTAGTTGATGATGCCTCAATAGGTGTGAACAGTGATGGGAACGTGCATGGATACTAATAGTGAGCACACACACAAACACGCATGT